AGTTCCAACTTTGGGAATCTTTACAGAATGAACTAACTGTATCTTTTGGTTTTGCAATATGTGTGATGGATTGATATTTTATTTAACTAATTACTGGATACCAAGCCGGTGGTATATGCCAACCTTCATCTATATTAAAATTCGAATGATTTTTAATTTCAATAATCCCAATTGGAAAATACCTATTTAAAATTAACAATAAATAACCAAATTAATCCTTTTATATCTTCTGTACATAGCTTTACTTATCATTGTTATAACTTTAAAATTATTGACTTCCATAAGGCAGACAACATGTCTATTTCCCACAGGGAATCGATTGATTTATTATAGCTGGACTACCATTGCAAGCATGCGTTCTCTTTGGTGTTAAACAATTTCATGGTAATAACAATGATCGACCAAATATACATACGCATTTACGATACATTTGAGCTAGAAGAGCGCAATAGATTAACATATTCCCTATTTTTCTTGTTTTTATATATTAACATTATTTCCGAAAGGTTTAAAATTAAAAGTCTTTACTAATATTATTAAGTACGTAGTTGTTTTCCAACGACTTCACCCGTGTAAATTACAGCCTATGTCACCCGCGTATGATGTAGTTGCCAGTATGTGAAAGAATTTTCAAAATCGGTCCATTATTTTTAGAGCCGATTTAATGGAAACTGTCAAATACTTCTTGAAGCGTGTCATCTATTTGATTTTCAATACCATATTTTGGTTGAAAGGTTTTTTTATTAGTACAAGAACTACTAATAGCTTACATCCAAATAAATGTCTTTTACACCATTCCGTACATTCATACACCACAGAGATAATAGCATTCTTACAAATCAAACGCTACGTTTGGCGAATTTCAGTAACAAGCACATGACATTGCATATCGTTCTCTAAAATTATATATGCGGAGGATAAATCACACAAACAACAGCATAAATTTGATTATTTTTTTGCCGTTAGAAATATACAATTATTTCGGATAGAATTAAGTTACTTTCCATCAAAACGTCCATCGACGCTAGAAACTTTTTATAACAACCGGTATCATCCGAAGAGCTCATCAATTTATTGCCAAGTTGAATTACATGACTATCACTATAAGATGTCAATGAACTTGCACAATACAGCAAGTGGCATGAAAAATGTAGTCAAAATGTTGGCGTCTTTTTTTCTAATGACTGAAATAGATCAACATGTATCTATTTCAGCAGAGAGTGCATTGTACCGGACTCTATTCATTTCAACGTTGGGTTTGCGAAGCCACTTACGGCCACGCCATTCGGGCGGGCAAATAGTGTCTGCTATTAATTACAGCTTACGATAGTACTTCATTGAATTTTGAACTTAACTACTTAGATAATATTATATCTCTTGTGCTATCCGAGACCTAAAGCTTTTAAAAATATTTCTATATAAAGCTACACAATTTTAGACCTTAATAATTATCAGGGTCACTGTGCTATTACCGGAGTCTTATGTTAATATCCGAATGTGTTTCAAAATAGCCAAGCCGCAAAACCTTTTATCAAAACTAGTGAAACTGGGCCCATTAATCAAAAGTATGTTTTGTCACCGCGTCTAAATAGCGTCGAGGCATTATTCGTTAGTTATTATTTGGCGGCCTTCGGTCGAGCACAATGTCAAGATTACAATATTACATGAGGGCGCGACCCTGACAGTTGAAAGGTTAGCGGCTAAATTGGTCTCGACATAAAAGAGTAAGGAAATGCATTGTTTTCTTTGTAACGACAAATGGTTTATCTGTTTAGGTAGTTGTATTAATTTTAACATTTTGTTATTTTTAGTATCAGAATTATTATAATTATAAAAGTATCACATCATTAAAGAATATTTAAAATAATAATTTACAAATAATTATATATAAAAATCAGAAAAATATATATGATCTTGTTAGAATAGAAATAACTCTAATAAGTAGGAACCACACTTCAAAATTGTTCAGCGACTTTAAGTTAGCATAATCCGGAATGAAAATCCATGAACATAATACTTCTATTACCAAATCTGCCTGATAAACCTAATGTGTGAAAACTAACGATGAAAGTCTCACATGACCCCCGATTCGTTACACCTCCTATATAAAAGAGTATTATTGAAGTCAGTCTTTCAAAGTCCTCAAAGTGATTTACAGCGTACCTCCCACAGAGGACTTGACTTACCGTGGATATGATTTTGGACCAGACATGTTGTATAGACTAATCAAATAAGTCCTAACTCGATACGATTGCGTTATTAAATTACAAAGATCCCGACTACTATTTGTAGTTCTATCATCAGACCCTGGATTTTACGTCTGACCATCCTTCTTAAGACAATTCAAACGGGCCTAAATTCGATCGGGTTGCTTCCTAACTTTCACGGACACAGAGTTCCCGTTCATCATCGGATCAAATCCAGTTCATATTGATATTGCATTGTCATCCAACTTATACATACTATATGAAAGCAAAATATCAGCCAATCGAAAACCTTGAAATAGGTTAAATTTAACTTACAAGATTTTATAACCAATAAAATGAAATTGAATAAAAGCTTGTAAACTGCTATCCCATCGACCATTGACCTATAGCCGAGTTCACCATTCCTCAAGAGATATATAGGACATTCCGTCCGGATTCACAGGGTACACAGGGCGATCGCTGCCAAATCACAGTTACGCAATGTTACTCGATTGACGCAATTGCCAATGGACTATATACTATAAGCCACGAATCAGCGAGTCTGTCGGTAGGCCGGACCTACGGAGAATGCGTGTCAAACGACTATTTGCGTTCGAGACTGCAACTTAACATCGGGCGAGTAAGATACACTCGAAATGGGCAGAACAACCAGTAATAATACTTTTTAACAGGAAACGTGCAAAGCAGCACCAGTGTGAAACAGATCATTAAATAAATGGAACTATGCGATCCCAAAACGAACAATAAATCACGCATCAAAAATCGATATGTGGTTAACTCGAGTGCAATTATACATAGAATGAAAGAGGTAGACTGACTGACAGAGGAATTTATACAGTGCAAAGTGCTTTTGATTATTTTATCGTGTAGAGTCGACAACATATGTATATTGCCAAAGTTAGTAATTTTGAAAATTGTTTGTTCTTACAAAGTAATTTAGCAATTACATCGTCAGGTATACCTTACATTCTAATTTCGAAATTCCACCAAAGTGCTGGTAAACATTGATAATACGTTACAGTGTAGCCACCGCCTAATTCGCGTGTCAGCACACCTGTTTACCCAAGAACTGACTGACCCGAGACCGTTGACCTCTAACCGTCAATAAAGCTACCGTGTTAGTGCAAAATCAACGGGCGAGATTCAATTTGTTAGCTGCGACGACAGACGTTCCTTTCTAACAATACCACTGTGATAGAGATAAAATGACGTATCACCTCTCACTAGACTTGTCAGCTTAATAAAGAGCGAGCGCTGAATGATGATTCATCGCGAGATCGGAACCGAGCCGATGGTAAGTGCCCTACATTTTAGCGATAGATTATTGTGGCTAAATAAAAAAATATCGTTTTAATGTATAGCATCAATTTCTATTTGTGTTCAGGTAAATAACTTTATATTCTTATTGTTATGTAACGAATATTGAATTAATTAAAGGGAAATTGGACACTCCACGCTAAAACAAAAGCTAGATGTATATAACGTTACTTGTTCACAAAAACATCATTAAAACGGAAAAAATGAACTGTAAAAATGAAGTTTCCGTTATAAAGTTCACCTTTTTATCAGTTTCAGTGTATGGCTACATTTCACAGCAATCTTGTGTTAATCCGACGTTTTAGAAATTTCGAAGTGAAATAAAACAAAAGAAAACATTACCCGTATTTACAATTAAATAATAAATATTTGTATCAATATTAAGCATTCGTGCATATTTATATATTGACTAGCTTTTGCCCGCGACTTCGTCCGCGTGGTAAAGTTACTTTGAGCAGCATTTCTAACGAATATTTATTCATTATTTCGTGTAACATACCTGAAATAAAATTTCATTCCCTATTTTATCCCCTTAGGGGTGGAATTTATCAAAATCCTTTCTTAGGGTGTGCCTACGTCATAGTAGCTTTATGCATGCAAAGTCTCAGCCCGAACGGTTTAAAATTTACAAAGTTTCATACAAACTTTCATCCCCTATTTTATCCCCTTGGGGGTAGACTTGACCAAAATCATTTCTTAGCGGATGCCTACGTCATAACATCTACATGCATGCCAAATTTCCGATTCGTCCAGTGGTTTGGGCTGTACGTTAATAGATCACTATGTCAGTCAGTCACCTTTGAGTAGATTACTTACGAGTAGATTAGATTACTCAAAATAACCATTACTATTTTCTTTTATGAAATAAAAAAAAGACTATGTAAAAAACAAACCAATTCTACAATGAGATATCAAAGAAATTATTAGTTTGACCCTTGTCAATTTAGATAAGGTTAGTGAATTAAAGAAGAAAGACAGTGACCGTGTGAAAAATAAATATGGTCAATCAGATTATAATAAAACCGTTAGGGTTTGAGAGTGAGATCATAACAAACTGTGTAGACAATCTTTGTGCACCATACTATATTTACACGTGATGACGCTTAAGCAAATATTCATTGGTAACCGTGTGATTCACGAACTCATGTCAAAACTAAATTTATTATAATTTATAAAAGCAGTCGCAATGGTATACTAACATTTATCCATCAATATAGTATTTTTTTAATTTAAAACATGACAAATATGAACAGTATATACATTTAGAACACGTTTCCATTTCAATCGAAAATTTAGTGGTAAAAGATATTTCTTTGGTGAGTAGCAAATACTTTTGGGAAATATCAGTCTCTCTAATAGGCTAGCAAAAGTTAAGAGTTCTATTCGCCTTTGAAAGACTTGAGACAACTGGTCTTTTTAAATTATTTTCCTCAATTTTTTTTAACTTATCATTAGTTTCATTTTAAAATTACTCACCTTTCGTAGCCACAGGGATGGATTGTCGCGTCATGTCCTAAAAACGGAAAGAAATATATATTAGTAACAATATTCATGAAACATAATTCCACCAAGTTTGAGCAACACAATAAAGACAAAAAAGCTGAGGTTTAAACCAAAACGGCTTAGGAGTAAAAGTACTGTATTTACAAAGACGTAAAGTTGCTTTTCGCAGTGCTCAGAGCCTAAGAGGAGCTTATAGAGTGTGAACTCACTTTTCTAATACATTTCAAGAGAATGCAAGGTATCATTTGCCACGAGTTGTTGTCATTGGTGCTGTCGAGGAAATGTCATTGTTTTCGGCTCCACATAACCCGCATTCAAATATAAGGATTTCGAAATAGGCAATAACTTTCGGAAAGTGGTCCAACTTAACGAATGCGGGCCAGTTTTATGTATATTTATTTCATCATTTTAGAATATTTTGTATACATTTTCAATTTACATGATGGACTTTTACACGCATATTTCTTTCAGCAATCATACCAGCACCTAACGAGAAAGTAGTTTACTTTTGCATTAATTAGTTTTACAAAACGAGCCGTTAAAAATGGCGTTCTAATTTTGATGGGTGCCGTATAAATTATATCGGCGTAGCAAAACCCCAACATGCTGTGCAAGTATATATTGCAAGCAATGGGCGCGATGCGGCTTGCAATTTCCTCATCCACAACCAATTTTGTTTATTTGCTTCTGGGAATTGCTTTGGCTTTGATTACGAACGAACTTTAAACAAAACTATTTCGCATTATAATTTTTTAATATTAATGTTTGATTCTGCCACTACGACTTATTACGCATAATATTGTTTTGTTAGTTTTAGGTTATTTTCTTTTTTTTTATTAAAAGAGAAAAAAGATTCAATGTAAAAAGGTTTTTTAACTCTAAAACAATTTTATATACCACGTTGAAAGTGGCATTTATAAAACTATCCGTTTATTTCGCCATCATAAAGCCTATTATGCAAGCAAAACAACTGATGTCATGTTATATGCAAATAGATTTTATCATTTTCTTGTAATATTACGAAACGTCCTTTTTTTGCACTGATAAATAATATGCCAACATTGCTACTATTTAAATCTAGATAAAACCTAAATTGTTTTTTGATAACGGCACTAAGTAAACATTTATAGGTAGCTAGTAATTTTCCAGGATTCTGTTCTGGCACACCGGTGGTTAATGTAATTAGAGACGGGGACATTTAACATCCTCAAATTGAGGAAAATTGCAGAACTGCAATTCCCATTCCAGAAGCTTAACTGTTCGTTCTGAGCAATTTTCTGTTTAAAGCAACTGGTCTTAATGGGTGCGACAACAATTATTTTATAGTTCATCAGATGAAGACATTAAATATACTAAGATACACACTTAATATCAGAAAAAAATTATATCTGCAAGGACCGCACCAACTTAAGCAGATAAAAATGTAACATCCGGACATAATGAAACATCCCACCCAACCACTCTTTATAACTAGGGCGATCCTGGACGGATGGCAGCTCTGAGTAACTTTTCACTGATACTAATCTTTAAAAGATAATATAAAAAAGAAAAATATTTTAATCCTTTTTCACATGAATATACTTTTCCTTTTGAATTGTTAAGTGATAAAAATACACAACGACCAATGAGGCTGAATTCGTAACAATCGTTTATATTATAGAGTTCACAATGATGTCTTGCAATACTTAGTATCAATAAATGTATTGTAAGTAAATGTATTAGAAGCTGCGATACGTTTGGCAGCATTCGACTTGTAAACTAACACTCGAGCTTAATTACTACTTAATCCATAATAATTAATACGTATTTTTCCGCCTTTCAAACTTGACGCTGAACCGATGGGATGATTATCATTAAATTTCATGGAAAGATAGTTAAAATTTCAAACTAACTCTACATTTGTATAAAGCCTGCTTTGTTATTTAAAATAAATACAATTTGAATGCATACGAACACAGTAAGATATACGAAAAATAAAAAATAAATAAAAAAATAAAACTACTTTCATCTATCTCTTTAGGCGTGTTCAGTTCTGATTGATGTATAATTTTCCTCATCTAAGATAATGGACTTTTTATTAAAATTTTCTTTTATTCCTTCGTCTTTTATTATTAACTCAACGATAAATTGTTATTCTATTCTTAATTAATTCTACTCCAGACATTACTTCTGTAAATTCTTATTCGATTACGAATGACGAGATTAACGATTGTTATATGATCAAATCGGTGACTGGCCCAACTCCACACTCGTGACAAACCTTCCTCGAATAATTCCTATCCAATGTTGAAAACATCATCAATTTATACTATGCAATGGTAAATAAACCTTCATATAATTTTAGATCAATGGACAGTACAATATTTACAAATTATATTATATGCAACTGTCACAAAGTGTCACAAAACAAACTACAATTCATATGTATAAAATATCAACCGATCTAAGACATATAACGAAACCGAATAGATATTTAGGCGGCAATTTAAAACGCAAACGTTCCGTACTACGCAAGCAATAATGATACAATTACCACTTGTAATTCATATCGTTTACGAGTTTTTTTTCTCACGGCAGTTTTTCGTTAAATATGATATGTTCATTGTACTTACAACTTTTCCTGTTTTTATACACAATCTTGGAAATTAATAACTTTCACGTCGTCTACTTGTTATATATGTTACTTAATATTTATTGAGGAACGGAATTACGTGTTAGTTTTCGTATATGCGATACACGAATGCAAAATCTAAGTCATGACACCTTTTACAAAGGAAACTTCAATTGTCGCTTCACACAACAGACGACAAAAAGGTGGTTGGTGCCAAAATCGTGAATCATAAACGAGTCCGATGAAAGGTGTGTTGAATAGGTAAGAAAGTAGAGCTATATACATTTAGGAGATACCTTACTGTTATTTAATGAATTTAATTAAACAATTTATGGGATAAACACTTGATAAACAGGATCTCTTTGAGGTCATGCCGTTGCAAGGATATCAAAGGTGAATCCATACCATCAATCACCTTGACATCTGCTGGAAGAACTATCTAAAATCTATGACTGCAGTATTGATAGCCCCGACTTTACTTATACATAATATTGAATATAACAAATCGGACTACTAGTTGTCGCCGTATATAAAGTAACCATGTTACGATGTCAGTGTTATAAGTTATTGATATTGACATCCCTTTGTACGACGACAAATAATGGCGTGGTGGCTGACAAACAGTTTCACATTATTTACGCCTATTGTGCTTCCTATTATTATTATTATACAGTACATAACATCAACTGATTGGATTGAACTTTTGTTACTTCCGTGCAATCAGGCAAATCGAATCCCTCCATGGCGAACGTGTGACAAAAGAACAATCCATCAATCAAAAATAATAACAAGCTGTACGTGTGCAAATCATAGATCGTGGAGCAACTGAAAGAAAAAAAAAAGAGTGAAAACAACAAAACAAATAAGTGGTGGTGGCAGTTGGGCGGGTGCATGTGCCGCTGTATATGTGTTGTCGACAGTACCGATCGTGAGTTGCGCACGGGCAGCGTGTGTCCGGAGTCGCAGGCGGGCGGCTCGCCGTCCGGCGCGCCCTCCCCGCGCAGGAACCCGCCCTCGTCCGACGACGACCCGGACGGATCCTTGCAGCCGCCATGACAAACAATATCACGTGCCAATCATACGGTACACACACAGTGCTAAACACTTACTGAACTCTCCGTAGTGCCATCGTCACCGCTCATACCACAAGATAATACGGAGCGGCCGTACGAGCTGTGTGTCTCTACACCTAGTGGAAAGTGAAACTGAAATGCTGATACGATTGTCTAGTGTGTGAAAAATCGATGCGACCCGGTGTCCGGCGTGCGTCAGACGTACCCATACAAGTTGGAAGGTCATCTTGCCATCAATCATAGCCAGATAGCCGACGGCCGGTGGGCAGCCCGCCCCGCCCGCCTCTACTGGCACAATATAATTGATTATGTCTTATTGACCCATCTTTCTACTATTCTTGGATTCATTTACGTGTGGCTATCTGTGTTACATACTATAGACGCGACGTGTTCAAAAGGTAGCGTGTGTGCAAACATACAGAGCGTTGCCATGGTAACGGGTGCAAAATTCCAACAATTTTTAGCTGCTAATTGATTATGACCTCTACGTGTGCTATTAGCGAATGATCACCTGCCAGCTGATGATGTATGGGAACATTTCTACATTTTCTCTTGTGTTTGTGCGACCGCCGTGACACCGGTTCAATGACGGGTTCCGTTCATTCATCGAAAGATCAGTTTTCACTTTAGATTTCACAGACGCTCTTCATGGTTCCCGATCGTACGTCTTAATATAAACGCTAAGTAACCAATATATGTACGGGCATGTTTGTGATTGATATTTTAAAAACAATTAGGTACCAGATATTCATGTGTCGGGAACACATTCGCCTATCGCGGATATGTCGGTCCAACTGTGTGCCGGTGTCGATTAGCAACGTGCTTCACAACCCAAACAATGAGGGTGATCGCGGCTTGGTACGCGGTTCAAAAGCCCCAGCTAAATCGATATAAGTTAACCGATGCTTCCGTACGATGGTATCGCGAAACTGAAGTACGTACTGCCGATGATGAGTACGTTTACAGGCGTTAAGCGATTAGAACACAAACAGGCTTTTAGTGAAATGAGGTCGCCTTGATTTATGCAATTAACCAATGCCAGCGACGTCACCCCGCAGCGACGTTGCATGTGTACTGAATACTAGACAAATATAAATTAATTTCAGTACAAGTATTATTCAATCGGGAATTAGATCATTTGTAATGTTGTACCTATTATGTGAATAATAGACAAACGATGAAGTCTTACAAGCTTAAAGTCTTTCGTATCCATAGACACGCTTTAAGCTTCGGCTACTCAAAATTTATATAGTTCTTTATTCAATTCTGCCATTTTAAACTATTCTAAAACGTATATTACATATACTTTATTTATAACATACTCTTTAGAAGAAAACCAGAAGGTGAGAAGATAGCACCCTATATAATTTACCAAATTAATTTAATAAAATGTAAATTATAATGAAACATAATCAAGTTAGTTAATAAGAACCAAAGGTCTGTCTTTAACATTTGAAGTCGATCACACATCAACTACAATAGTCATTGACAATTTCATATAGACAGTGAAACCTGTTTAACTGGGATCACAAGGGACAGAGAAGTTATTTAAACAGTCTAAGGACTCTATACCTTCTAGGGGACATCGAGGGGTTAAAAATCAAAGATTGAATTAAACAATTCTGTCTTATCGAAATTTTAAGTTGATATGCAAGAAAAGAGGGTTCTTTCAACACACCTCTGTTTTTAAAAACTCTGGGTCTCTCCTATAGTTTTGTCATTTACCCAGTTCCTAATAGGCATGGGACTGTGATAGTTGTCTCTAACCTACACGGGCTGTTGAGTTAGTCTCAAAACGATAAATATTGCAGTTCTAAAAAATCTTATTTCAGTTAACAAGGTTTTTTAAAATTCCCAGTTACAGTGGCATTTCAATGCACTTGTATCGGGATCTCATTATAATTATGAATAAAAGTTTTTTTTAACATATCCAGAGCCCATTAGAGAAGATTTCACTATAATACTATGACATAATTACTGAGATCATTATTAACACGCTATTGAAACACGGACATTAACGACAGACTTAATATTCATGTATACGACATTCCTGCAATATATATAGTAAATTGTCGCAAAATTAAGTCCAATATTATTAGTGCAATGTCTTCCTCGCAAATAAAAGATAACAGATATATAAGTATAATACTGGACTTCAGGTATACGCATATAGTATATGCACAAAATGCAAGTAGCTGAGATTCTACAGAGATGCAATTATTACTCAAACATTAGCAGAATAGGCCTACTTGACGTATGATCAGTTCAAAGGTCCAAATGTTGATTAGTCTAAGAAACTTTTTGAAGCATCCAGGACTAATCAACTTCACTCTACAACACGCTTCATGATGGAATATCAAGTTTTTACAAGTTTTAATTAAAATTATCTAATTAGAACATTAGCTTCAACTATTACTAATAAATCCGTGATATTCCACCATCATTAAGATGTAAACTACCAAAGGATACTAATCTTGGTATTTTAGGCATAGCTTTCATTCATAATTCACTATTGAGTGTACAGAAGACTCACTCTAGCCAATTTGTTGGGCATCGGCTGCAGGTGCGGCGTGTGGTGTCGCGGCCCCACCAGCTCGGGGTTGAGGGCGAGGATCGCGTCGATCTCCACCTCCTTGCCCTTGGTCTCGCCGCGCTCGTACCACTCCACTGTGACGGAGCGAGTCTCATGGTTCACGCCGGACACTATCGCAGAATGGATCCGTCCTGGAAAACATCAAATTGCATGTTTAATTAATGGTTACTAATTGTAAATCGGGACTTAGACCTCGTGTCGCTTGCGGTAAAACAAAGGTTCTATCGATGAGAGCATCAAAATCTGTGGTCGAGTAGTTTTTTTATCGTTATTATAAGAACCTACATCAATATATTTGAAACCTTTTCAATTTTCAAAATAAAGCAATATTTTCGTTTTCATTTTTCATTTTTTATTTAGTTAAAAACAATATAGCAGAATTACGGTTTTATCAATTTATATTAAAAAAATAATAATATTAGGAAATAATATGCATATCAATTGTAACTTTTGAATTGTCAGAGCTTCGTGAAAGGAAGGCAGCCGTGCCGAGTGCAGACAGACAATGCGCAGCCTCAGTTGTATAGACATAAAATGTGCTGTCTGGGAAAAGTTGGCTAGACACATTAAGGTAAATATGTACAATGCGGCTCATAGTTGGCCGCAAATAATCTACCACTTATGTAAATTAATAATGTAAATATTTACCTTTAAATGTAACGTTTACGTACATCACTTAATTAAGCGCTCTCATTATGAAAAATTGGCAATAATACCATTAGTAGATGTACAGATAACATTCAGATACCATAAACGACTATAAATAATCCAGGCATTTCTTCTCCTGGAAACAGAAAACAAACGGACAAAAACGACAGATGATCTGAGCCGATAAGATTGGGATATGATAAATTATAATAAACACCCTATAAAAACAGAACAGCTCGCTTCTTAGTTGTCTATTTAAGATCACATAACATAAACAACACGGTGGTCAGAAAGAAAACAAAACTATTATTAACCACAGGGGGAGGACATGACAGGGGGCACCGACCTTGCATATATCATAACAATGTAAACATCACAATGTAAACGTTGAACAATTAAAAAAGCTACTGTTTACAAATTAACACCGGCCAGATAATTTGGACAGCTTTCCGAATTTTGAAGAATCAAGACTTCAATGAGGATACTAGTAAACTCTATAGCTGACAACCCTAAATAATATAAGATTACCGTATTATAAAACTCCACAGCTAACTCAAGTCCTGAATAGATAGATAGATAGGTAAGGTAAGTGAAACATGGACTATTAAAGGGGCTTATCATTGCTACCAATTTGACTAAGTAAATGTTAACTTTAAACTTAAAGCGAGACTATCTAAATAACCAATATTTAATTAGGATCTCAAAAAGGTCAATCTTTTAATTTATTAACCCAGAATTTAGCCCGCGTGGTTAAAGGGATAGATAGTCTCTCGTACAAAACAAACATACAAACACACTTTGCAATTTACAATATTAACGAGTATTATATGGATTGTTATAAAATAAGTAGCTCGGTGGCGTAGAGGATAAGCGCCGAGGCCCGCGATCGTAGTCGTTAAGCAACTTTCGCAAGGGTCGGTCACGGGATGGGTGACCAAAAAAAAAATTATCTCGAGCTACTCCGTGCTTCGGAAGGCACGTTAAGCCGTTGGTCCCGGCTGCATCTGCAGTCGTTAATACCCTCCAATCCGCATTGGGCCAGCGTGGAGGGTCATGGCCCATCCTCCTTAACCATCCATAAGGAAGGCCTGAGCCCCTGCAGTGGGGACGTAAGAGGGCTGGTGATGTTATGGATTATTATCCACTAAAATGAAAGTAATTTCAAAGTGCAATTTGCCAACCATCATATAAATTTCAATTTATCGATGCTATAAACGTCACAGCCAATATGAATCATCACACTCGAGGCCACAATAATAGTACCATTTAATTTAACGATATCGCTACACGATCGTGCCTTGTTGCAAAAGCAGAACCATCTTTTGTTACTTTCTAAGAGCACTTTTATGTTAAATGTGTAGTAAACCGCTATTGTGGAGAAATCGGTAAATTAAATATCAATCTAGCAAGTATTTGTTTCAATAATGATTAAAAAATAAAAAAAGCGATAGTTTATGCACTCATGGATCGGTTTTTATATAATTTTCTCATAATACCAGTTTACATATAAGGCGTGACTTGTTCGTTGTGTTGACCAGCGGGATAGGCTAAGACAATATTGATTTCTAATTTCTATGTGTAATTTAGATTTGAGATTAAATTTCCGACAACTACAGTAGCTTCGCCAAGAAAAACAATAGAATGCTAAATAGCATATTGCACTAACTTCAAAATTTTGTATTGGAAATATTGTGTATTTAAGGTCCGATGTACAAATATCAAATGTAGGTAATATTATAAGAATTCGATAATGTTCCCTAATAAGACTCGTGAACCTGACCTAGGAAATCGTGACAGAGTTGCCAGGATACTCACCCCCCAACGGAGGTAGGACCTGACCCTACCGCAGCCTCTGTCTGATGCACAGATAATCTACCCGGAGATGATCTTAGCTAAATTATAAGAACGATTCGTCGTTTCGTTCTACTATACCGCCATCGTCTTTGCAGTTATTCCCAAAGGTTGACTGGGATAGAATGCTATTAGCATTAACTCCGCCGTTTGTACCATTTTCCATTGGTCAATAAAGCTCAATAAATAAAACGGAAACTAATTGTACAATTGTTTGTATTAGTGCGCGGCTAATGGTCACCTGTGTAAAGAAAATTTGTTTCGGACACCCCCTTCCCCTCGTAATGATCTAACTAACCTCTTTGGAGTTCAAGACAACCGATAAAATAAGGGTCGCGTTATAAAAGCATAAGTTCAATCATGTCAAAGAAAACCTTTGATTAAAAACATTAGCATAAATAATATTTCACAACATTAAGCAAAAAGTATACATAAGTAACTTGTAACTTTTATCCCTTACTAGTGGCCGCCAGCGACTTCGTCCGCGTTTTCCATTATTTCTTCGCTCCTAATAGTTGCAGCGTGATGTTATATAGCCTTAAGCCTTCCTCGATAAATGGTCTATTCAACACAAAAAGAATGTTTCAATTAGAACCAGTAGTTCCAGAGATTAGCGCGTTCAAACAAACAAACAAACTCTTCAGCTGTATAATATTAGTATAGATAAGAAAGAGCAAGTAGTCATATGACAGGGATTTGTTCGCTAAGCCTTTACAAATCCTGTATTCAAATAAATCACTATGATGAGAACAGGCTTCGACTACAGTATAAGTAAACGCATTGTGATAAGTTCGAAGTTCGAACACCCCAATGATTAATTATTGCTGAAAATGTGCTTTTCAGGGAAAACTACCGAGTCATCCGAACGATTTACATTGACGCACAGATCACAATGTCGCATACCGTCCTACTATATTGTTAAACCGTATGGCAATAACCTTGGAATCAAAGTATAACGCCAATGCCTAATATAAGACCAAATGCCTTCAATTTTAATCGGAACATTGACTTATCATTTTACAGTAGTAATTCTCAAAGTGTATTAAAGTGTAGTCACAAAAAATATTTCTCCATATGATTGGTTATAGTAAAATATGTATGTAATTATTATTAATAAACAGTATAACATGTTAAACTAAGTTGTTATTTATTTAAGGGCTCCGTTTAAATATTTGGTTAAAAATAAACCATGAAAATAGACAAAAGCTGCCTTAAAGGACAAATCATACCCTTACATTATCTGAAATTATACAAATTTTACGTAAAGACGCAAAAAACTTAGGTATCCAGATTTTTTTTTGTCATTAATCACAAAATCAGATAGATTACATACTAAATTTTGAACGATATGTTTCATCTAAAACTTCAAATGTGCTGTCCTGTAAAATTAGTATCATATGAGATAACAGCGGGGCCTACCGCGAAATAAATCAAACTTCATACAATTGTTAGATTCTAATTCAATACTTTAACGTTCCATTACAGACGATGGAGTCGACATTATGTGCCTGGAATAGACTTCGCTTCACGTATGTTTGAGTAAATTATATGGATGAGATATAATTTACGCGTGTGAAGTCGCGGGAACGCAGATAGTCTTCATTTAAAACAATATTTCAAGTTAATCGATATTGTACTAGTAAAGAAAATGTCGCTTTCCGATCTGGCAATCATAAAATGTGTGAACAATAGGTAAGAGCGGCAGGTATCGAACACATACAGTTGCCATGGTTACCCGACGCGGCGAGACACCGGCGAAAGTTCAACGAAATACACCAAATGAAATCACAGACTGCTTTGCTATGTTGTAAAAATTCAGACCCGAATTCGACATCATCATTGTATAAAAATATAAAACGAAATTGATCGAATATACATACAATTTCGAAACTCACTTCACTTATGTCACGAAACTTTATTACCAATTCAAAGTTGAGCGGATACCGCTTTATGAAAAGGATTCGGACACCAGGGGGCCGATTCTTCTAATTAAATTTTGTTTAAATCGAAGCGAAAACGGCTCGTAACCGAACGAAATTACAGTTTTTGATGGTTTCTCTATTCTAATAAATGACATACGATACAATTCCAGCTAAAATAGAACTGGAATTGTATCGTATCGTATCTGGAATTGTAGGAAAACCAATAAAAACTGTAGTTTCGTTCGGTTTCGATCCGTTTTCGATTCAATTTAAACAAAATTTATTTAGTAGAATTGACCCCCTGAGAGAATTCGAATTCGGGATTTAAATATTACAGAATCGCACGGCTGGAATGGAAACTTATTGGCATCGTGGCCATTATACCTGATACAAATAAAAACTTTCAGTATGGAGATCAAACATTAAAACATAACAGCTGTTTTTTTTATATTTTTTATTATGAGGGTATCATATATTTCCTTTTTAATATATGAATTAATCCAACGACATTTTCTTTCGGATTATTAGTAAAAAAAAAATCCTTTAATTTCTCAAGGGCATGATAAGCAAAATACATATAAAATGACGTCTACGTATTTTCACACTGTTACTTATGTTACTTCCATGAAATACATAAATTTTCCTAATATTATATTTGGAAAGTCATATTTAAAAAAAAAAACGGATTTAAATATTTAAAAAATATTTGT